GTTTTGATGCCAAATTTGTACGAATCGGAAATTTTGAATGTTTTCGTGGAAAAATACAAAGTTAATTTTTTGATTTTCTTGGGATCCGTAATGCACACTATTATCTGATCGTAGTGCTGCGATCTTAAATCTCAAATTTGGGTAGGAAATGCAACATAGGAATTAAATTTGTTCCAAAATAGAGATATTTTTGACGAAAACTTACAAGTTTTTTCACATATTCCAATCCAAAACTTAATTCCACCCCTGATTAAAACGAACTAACTTCCACAATTTCAATTTCCCCACACCCGTCATCACATTTTTGATGAAATGTATTCATGAAAACGCAACAAATTACGAATGCCTGAGAAAATTGACGCCTTGATTTTGTCTCGGTGATAAATAAATGGGTAACTTTGTGCATGTCTGTCATCCCACATGGGGAAATATTTCATGTTCCCCGTCATCATGCAGATCGTTGCATCATACATTTCGGAAGGAATGCGTTTCAGGAATTCCCTATATTTTGATCTCCTCCTCTCTTGTCCACAAGAATCCAAGTTATTGTCCAAGTGTTGGAGAAAAGTGTTGTCGTCGCGCTGCAGACATCGCAGTTTGGGGGTCGTGCGGGTCGAATGCCGTCTGTTTAACTGCTTCCCCCACACGGAAGGTGACGCCAAGAAGGATCGCCTCCGCCATGCACAGCCCCCCGCGTACATTATCATGATGCGATGACTGGTTGGTGGTAGTAGTCGTTCTGATCGAGTTGTATCTCTGCAGCTAATCTGCATTCCATTATTACTCAGTAAATCTTAGGACTGGAATCTCTCTCATTTCGAGTTCTTTCTTTTTTTCAGCCCTCGCATTACATGGCATCCTCGCTGTTTGTAGTCGCCTTTGCCGGTGCCGACTTCCCACAAGGCGAGTGAATAATATCTGGAGGAGAATCACATCACTGCCAGCCAGGGTTCCTGAAGAATCAAAATTGTCGCACCGGGACGAAATTTGGGAAACTTTGCAGAAAAAGTGGGAATTTTCGTCGTGTCCCCTTCTACGCGAGATCCGCTATTTCATTCCCATTTTGTCATCTAATTGTCGTGTGAACTATTTCTTCTCTGAGATAAACGCATAAAAACAACTCACCTCGTTCTCGACGAAACCTTGGTCTCTGAAAAATACGTAATAAGCGTCCTCTCTCTCAGCACAAGAATTTTATTGCCTGCAATGCAACTTCACCTCCCTGACTTCTTCATTCCTTCCTTTTATTTACCATATGGAGTTATTATAATCGGCATAAAATCATCATCATCATCTCGTCGAAATAAAGTGTACAAACAACATTTAATGGCATCACTCACAAGCCCCGCACAACATTCTTCACCCAAAAGAAATTCGTCACACGGATTTATTCCTCCTACAAACGAATTCCGTGCTAAATATTATTTCATTTTAATCAACCAATCCAGATTTAAAAAATGGTACAAAATTTTAATGGATTTTTAACGAATTTCCTGAAAGGAAACCAGATTAATTAATTGACTGACATGGACAAAGTCATAAAAGAAGACGCAACAACTTAGAGAAGGCGAGTAACCATTAGTTGGGTCAATTTATAAGGTTATCATACCTTTTAATCCGCTCCTCAACCCCATCAATCAACAAGAACCCCACTCATCAATATTTTCAAGGGGGTCGTGCGGAGAGGATGGCGTCACTTTTTTCTTGGGTCAAGGGGGACAAATTGGGCAGGGGTCCATTTCGCATGACCTCGTTTACGTACATGTTTCGTATTGATAACTTTGTCGCAATTCTCGCAAGCCGACAGAGACGATGCGAGACACAACTGAATTTTGTTCTCGTTAAGGAAAACAAGCTTCTTCCAGGACACATATTTTATTCTGCGATGTTTTGATGACAAAGGGCAAGCAATAAAACTACTCGTGTTTATGGAGACGATTGGAATTAAAAGTGACAGCTTTAATTTTCTCGTGACATCCATTTATTCAGTTCGGGGTAAAGAATGGCAGGGTTGCTGTAACCTAGTTAAACGTATTTTTTTAATGGGATTGTGTTTTTTGGGGCGAATTGTGTCGATAATAATAATTGAATAATAATTGGGAACGATTTATGACGAAGGAGTAAATTTTGTGGTAAATTCAACTTTGTTACCGTCCAGTGATAGATATGAAAATCGTGTGTACGATTCTGCATGATACGATTCTTCACAATGTATGCAGGAAAGAGTTGCATGATTCTGCAGAAAAATTCTGTCGCGTCTAATCTGCAGAACGATTTGTGCATAATTTATGCACATACCGCTTAGCATACTGTTTTTCTGCAAAAAAAATCGTACAAATTTCTGCAGGAAACTCGTTGAAATTTTTACACTGCATACATTTCGCAACAATTAATTTAAGAAGGTAAAACATAAACCATGCAAAATGTAGCCAAATAATCCCGCAAAAAAAAGAACCCTACGAATTCATTCTTCAATATTTGTCCTCTTCTCCTAAAACTCTGATCCCACTCATTTATCAGACTGGATGGAACCGAATCTATTTAATTCATCGTCATCAATTGACATTTTGTGTAATCATGAAAAGAAAAATTAAAAGCTTCACGAAAATCCCTTCAATCAATAATAAAATAACGTCTCCTCCACCACATAGATATTTAATATTTACGTAATAACGACCACCTCGCCGCAAACGAGAACGACGACGCAAAACGAAAACGAATTAGGGCAGATTAATGAAAGATAAATCCATAAATTCGCAACTATCCATAATAAATTCGCAACTCTACATACGTAAAATAAACTCTTTTGCCTAATTGAGTTTGCAATACGTACGAACATATTCGCATGTCTGCATTTATTTAATAACAATCGATTTAAACTGGGAAAGGGGAAAACTCTAAAGTTTTATAAACACAGGGAGCACAATAAATGCAAAATATTTATTTACTCGGGGCGACTTTTCCTCTATGTATTCTTTTAAAAAAACTTGAAATGTGTCTCGTTCACTTCACGGTTAAATATTGACTCAAAGGAGAAAACTTGCCACCAGAAAATTTATTGTGGATTTTTACAGATATTTTTTTTTTACTTATTTATTTATTCGCTCCCTCCCGTCTTTTTTGTATTTATTCCAAGTAGGTAAGTACGTGGAGGAAGTATTGATTAGGTGCGTGTACATTTTTCATGAGTTTTACCTCCATAAATACTTTTCCACTCGAACGATGTATGTATGTGCATATGTGTATGCGTTTATCATCATTATTATCATTATTGCACTACACATGTGTATGTACGTAAGTAGGTCCGTTCGTATGTTGGGGGAAATTTGGTGGCTGTGGGGAGAGAAGAAAGTAGTGGAGGAGGGTACGAAGGAAATAAATATATTAGCGTGTTGCTGAATAAGTTATGCGAGAGGTGAGGAGGAGGAGGACATAATGCGGGGAGAAAAGTGTGGTACTTTCTCTCTCCTTCTGGTGCCAAATTTATTAACACGGATCCAATCAGTACCGTATCTTGGGGAAATGTTGGTACATAAAATATTTTTTGGGTAAAATTCTGAAAAATATGTTTCGAAATTTGTCATTTTCCCTAAAGAAATTAGTTTTTACGAGTATGCCTAATTTTGTAGTGGGGACTTTCTCTGGTGCTAAATTTATAGATATTAACACTGATCATAGGGAAACTGTATGGAAGAAATATTTTTCGCATAAAATTCTGAAAATAAATCTTAAAATTATGTCTACTTTTGCGGGACAGAAAGATGCGTTGGTTGAGGGAGCTTTCTCTCATTCAATCTTATCACCAGGATCGCATCAATAGATAAATTTTGTGCGAAAACTATTATTCGCACAAAATTCTGCCCAATAAATTTTGAAATTAGTATATTTTCCCCAAAAATTAGAGTTTAAACTTTCTCCGCCTTGCTACGGTACTGACTTTCACTTTGGGAGAGAGGAGGAAGAAAGTGGATTTCTCTTTGGAAGTGGTCCAAAGCGAGAGTAAGGACGAGAGTAAGGACGAGAGTGGGGACGAGAGAGTGGGAAATGGGGGCAAGTTGGTACTGGGCATGGAAGTGAGCGTTGGAGGCGAGGAGGAGAAGATAAGTGCAGTGAGAGGATTGAGGAGGAGGAAGACGTGTTGAGAGAGACTGGGAGGCAGGCGTTTCTAGCCACACTCAGTTTGGCCAATAAATCTTGGACTTGGGTGTGAACCATCTCGCCCAACTTGGAACGCTCTGCCACCCTCTCAACTCCTCGTCGGTCACAACCCCGCCAACTAGGTGACGCTCGCTCCACTAACTTGGCTCTCCCACCACCCAACGCTTCTCCTCTACTCACTCCTTACCACTACCTGCACTAATTTACACAAGTCTCATCCTCTCCAATTCCTGAAATTTTAAAATATTTACCTCACCCTTGCAAAGTTTCCGAAAATCACAAAAAAACAAGATGCGCGTGTAACCTCTCCGACGCCCAGAAAATTGCACGTCGTCTAGTAGATGTATGCCTGCACCTTGAAGAAACCAGGGAAAAATGCATCATTATAAAACATTGGGAATGAATTTTGCCCAGAATGTGGAAGGTGTCGACGCAAATGAGAAGTTGACACCTCTCCGAGATCCGACCACTTTGGCGTGCATAAAAAAGCCATCCGATGATCCGACTCGTCGATATTATTAGCGATATCTGGCCGAGGAAGATGTTTTCCTTTGTTGCCCTGCCGTGTGTATTGTGTGTGTTCACATTCTTGTTCTGTGGTCGTATTGAAGCTGGGATTGGTGGTGTGGAAGCCAATGGGCACTCGGTGTAAGCTCGGTGTGCTCATTAACGCCCCTGGTGCTGGAAGGGTCTCCTGGAAGGCGGCTGTTCTGCCACTTCTCCTGCCTGCCCAGACCCACACCATCCATGCCACACTAAACCACACTTATTCTACACAGGGCATCCATCTCTACAGTCTTTTACCACCAGCACCACCACCACCGCCACGGCCACCACCACCATCAAATCCAACACCAAAGTCCGTGTATACATATACAACTGTCCGTCGCCTCTTGCTCATTCTCAACGCTGACTCCGAGCCAGATACTCGCACTCCGACAAGCACCCACAGTGTCAAGAGTAGGAGAGGGTCGCAAACGGTGAAGGTATCAAAGTTGTCACCCGCAGTCTCACTTCTCCCTCCGACCTCACACCAACCAACCAGTCATCAGTTCCTACTAAGTTTTAGTACCCTAACCCTTCTGCAGCAATACATACGCACACCAGTCTCACTCCACCTCACGCCACTCACGACCACATTCGTCTCATAAGAATACCTCACAAAAATCATAGTCAGATATTTTGTACATTTCCTCCTTCTTCTTCTCCTTCGTCTCAGCTCAGCAGTGACTTTTTAGTATTACCGTGTCCACGGAGGCGTCAGTGCGGCGAGAATAGTAATAATGCGAGAAAAGACGAAATATTATTAAAGCATTTCTACCTTGAGGGATCACTGTTACGAAATAAGATTCGATGGGATGGGAGGCAGCAAGAAGTGACTCGTGGTTTGGGTGATATGCAGATGAGGCTTATCTTCAGATTCCTCACTCGGGTGGGAATGCAGATCATTACCATTTAGACAGATAATACAACACCGTTCTCGTCATTATGGAGGTGGAAATGGTGATACAGTTTGGACACCGTGAGGAGATCTTGATACGAGAAGAACTCGAGTGGTGATTTGCATAGGACTCAATATTTTGGTGACAGTCTGCATTACAATTGATATACGTGGCGTGCCGGCCGTCTCCGTGCAGATTGGAAGATTTAAATTTCTGGGGAAAATATATAGACTTTTCGAATAGTTTCTTGTTATTGGTCGTGACACCTGGAAAGTTGTGTGCAGTGAAAAGTGAGAAGTGTTCAAAATAGGAGACGACCATCCTCACAGTGAGTCCACTTTCAGGACTACGCCACCGACGACGACGGGACTGTTCGGGTTTAGATCGCCGTTCTCAATGCGTTTCGAACCACCCGTTTCGCTCGTTCCAGAAATGGCGTTTCCGCCATTCTTGCTACCCCGGGCGCCGCATTCAGGACCTGCCGACTTTTCTGTGTCCTCACTCCTCAGCCAAAATCCGTACCTTCCCGGCCTCGGGGGACCCGGGTATCCACTAGTTCCTAAACTTGGCCCTTACCCACCGCCCGGCTCTGGGGGTGGGGCGGGTGGTGGTGGGGATGACCTCCGCCTCCCCAGAAGCCTCCCCCCGGATGATGATGGAGTCGTGGATGACCCCAAAGTCACCCTCGAGGGCAGAGACTTGTGGGAAAAGTTCCACAAGCTGGGCACAGAAATGGTCATCACGAAATCGGGGCGGTGAGTGATTTACATACATTTCTTGGCTAAAATTAGAGGAAAAAGTGCCGTTCGTTGAGAAAATACATAGATAAAAATTAAAAGTGGGATTGTTTATTTAAAGAAAAATGTGTACCTTTCGTTTTCGCTGGTAAATAAATGATTTTCCGAGTAAAACAATGGTTTGGCTTGTGGTTTTAAATAAAAGGGGCAGGAGTGATATTTGTCTACATGACGGCAATAAGAAGGGTTTAGTAAGTGAGACTACTAGGCCGATAATGGAATGCATATTATTATCATTAGATCCTTTTTTTCCTTTCCACTCCTTAAGCTCATCCCCACCAAGAAGAGAGAGAAAGAGAGAGGAATAAGTAGTCAAAGGTCTCCGACCAAGAAAAGTCTACTTACCTGCAACGGTTGACAGATAAGAGGAAAGAGTGGAAGGACCTTGTTAAGTTTTTCTGCCTTTACATACATGTCACCCTTGCACTTAAAGGGTTTGGGTTAGGAAATTTTCAAAAATACTCAGAATTTCGAAATAAGTAGGTTTGTGTAAAGCAACGGAAAGAAAATTTTGAAAATTGGATAAAAATGGATTTTTAGCGAATTTTTACCTCTTCAAATTGGTGTTATAAAATAACTGGAGGAAAGCGGACGAATTTTTTAAATCTGGGCAAAATTTGATTTTTGACGAAGGCAAGTAGAAATCTATATTTTTCCGTATTTTTTGCCCTTTGAGTGGGTGTGACCGAATTATTTTCTTAGGAAGCTAAAAAACTCCAAAATGACATCAAAATCTGCAAGTGCAAATTTGAGACGCGTTCTTTTTAGTCTAATGGAAAAAGTGTCAAACTACTCGTTGTTTTTTGACAGGGTCTATTTTCATAATTTAACGACGAGTACGTATAATAAAAAAATAGGGCCCGTTTGTTTTTATATATTTACCGAGAAGAACACGGCGAGCTGAGAGGATAGCAAGCAAAGAAATTCTTCTTTTTTTCAAGTATGAAATGAAATGCCGTATAGTAAACCCAGCCGGAAGATGGGCTACTTATTTCAGTTGTAAACACCGTCCAAATTGAGGATTTAGGATAATATTATTAAAACAGGTACACATTTTTTTCCTCCAAATGCGAGAGTTTTAGAAGGTATCGTTTTAACCGTGTTTGTTTACTCGCTCCCTGCAACTTACTTAAATATGTAGCAGATTGGTGAAAAAAATGGAGGCAGAAAACCGGGTAGGATTTGTAATCTCTTTTTTTACACGGATGATATTAAAATCCACAATCTCGAAAACATGTTGAACTTTATTCTACTCTAATTTACGGGAAAAGGGAATTTTAAAATCACTATTCGCATTATTTCTAAAATCCCCTATAGTCATTTTTTAAGGTACCACAAGAGAGTTGGCAAGGAATTATACCACTCAGTTTGATTGTAATTTTCTCAGAAATTATAGTAGGTAGAAATTTGGTTCAAATACAAATTTTGTAAAAAAATTACTACTCTAAATTTTGGTAAATGTCCCCTTCTGCTGTTACTTATACTTACGTATTTATATCCAAAATAGTCGACCATGATGAATTTTTTTTAAAACGTCCTAGCGTCAAAACCATACGGAGCACAAACGTGGGACGACTCCCACATCGTGCGAAATAGTTTTACTTGGGGAGCATAATGGGTCTCATTTCCATATTGTCTTCCATACTTTTCGAAATAGCATTTCTATACTTGCCCCTCCATATTATTTTATGTTTCTGACGACAAAAATGGTTCACATCTCTTTACCAGACACAAATGAGCCCACAAACCGATTATACACCCTGCAGAAATATATAATGATTCCAAATAACAACCATTATGACCTTAAAGTCCATCCCTTCCATCTCGGGGAGCTCTTAAAAATGCCCCAATGCCCTTGTTGTTATGCGGAGCCGTACTTCATGTCTTGACTCATTTTCTCTAAAAAATCATGTTGCTAAGTCCAGAAAAAATTGAAATATTCAACCTCTTGTGGTACCTTAAGTTTTAAAATCTTTTTTTTCAAACATCCACGTAAATTACACTCCATTTTTTTATGCTGAATTTTTTCATCTAGTCAAATTTGATGTTTTACACGGGGAAAAATAATCATGTCCGACTCGCTATTCGCACCATTTCCAAATTTCCCAGGTTTTGGTACCCATTCTTCTAAGCATATTAGTCGTATTAAATAGTTGAGAATCGTACAGGCTAAAAGTTCATGGCTGAAAGGAGTCATCTCTGCTGCCTGATTGTTCCGTCCGTGTTATTATTTTCTCGACTTGAGATTAATAAGCAAGTGAAGAATTACTCGTTCCTCGTGGTGTTTGTTGGTGGTTGGAATTTCATGTAAGAGTCTCGAGCTGTCAAGATACTGACAATTTATTATCGTGCAGGCATGTCGATTGCTTATTTCATTCCTAACGAGTATTTAATTAGCAATTAAATAAAGTATATTACGTTACCTCACACAAAGTAATGATCCTTGTAATTTGGGCTGTCTTATTTCTCAGCAGCAGTGAAATACTTAACAGCATACATACGCATTTAGTTGGGCGATATGGCTGGCTGGGAAATTAGGAGGGATTGATTGCTGCCAATATTCAATATAAATTGCGTCCACTGAATTTATGTGATTGAACGAGTAACAAGTTTTTCTTGGTAATTAGCACTTTGTAATCTAGTAGCTGAATTGGTCAACATCAATTCATGATGATGATGATGATGACGATGAATAGGAAAAAAACTTGTGCAGATAAATTTAACCAGTTGGGCAAGAAATATGGAATGAAATGCACTTTTCCTATAATTAACAAAAGGGGGGAAAATTGCGAATTTCATACAAGTCGCAAAAATTGTTGCTTACTTCCTCGATTTACATGGAGAAGAAATTAAATGTTTTACTTAATCAGGGAAGAAAATTGGGAATCTTTCCATATTTTTGTGATGTCCCCTTGAAAATTGTGTCCTTACTCGCATAAATTTGCTCCATTTAACACACGACGATACGGATCAGCGGAGACTTTCTTCTTGTGAAGGGTCCCTCCTCAGCCGTCAATGTTGGTGGTAGAAGACTTGGGTCTGAGGAAACCCACATGTGTGATAATATCTCTTCGTGTGGTGACAAAATATGATTGAGCGGATTGTTGTGGGACAAAAGGGGTCACTTTACGGCAACAATGGCAGAATTTGGGATTATTATTACCATTATGTTTCCTCTCGTGGATGGATATGGATATGGATTCATGCCGGCGTGAGTAATTATTTAGTATCCAAATCCAGCTCCATGCATAGCTGGCGGCTCGATGGGTGGGAATCTTGGCGCCGGGGTCTCTTTAGGGGTCGGAGGCGCGAGCCATGTCCTGGTGTGAATATTAACATTACGTGGATCTCTTCGATTTCGATTTCCTCGTAGGAGAGAGCCCTTGACACCTTTTGCCCTTTCCAGTCCCAAGGTGACTGTCTCGACATTGGAATAGTAATCATCATCACAATAATAATGATGCATGTCGCCATGTCGACGACTACGAGGTGTCAATAGGAGTACGAGAGGAGTGGAATCATTTCATAAAAAATATAAATGGCCGGCACGTATTTTTTAAGGGATTCTCTCCATTTTTGTGGATATTATTATGCATAATTTGCATGCAGGCAGGTTTCCAAGTGATGTGGTCATTGCAGTAAAATGGGCACATTTCGCCGAGATGGGACAATCATCGTCATCGTCCATCCATCCATCATAAGGATGAGCGAGAAGAGGAATATCGTCACTTTTGGGATGATGGGATGAATTTAAATGATTTAAATGATATAAAATCGTCCTCGCGAAAAGGACGGGACGATTAAGATGGTGCTGTGGCAGGATTAAAATTCTGCTCAATTCTGCACAAGAGGTACATTTTTCATGTCATCTCTCCATTGTTCTGCTAGATTTTGAAGAGTGACAAGGGAGAAAAAATGTTGGTCAGGGTTGCAAAATTTTATGTTGTTAATTTTAGTAATTTTATGGTCATCAAATTGTCCAGATAATTTCTGTGGAACAAAAAATTCAGAATTTTTATAGCAAATTTTTTTACTAAAATCCAATTTTTTTGGACAGATTCTTTCATAACACATTTCGAACCCACGTTTTTTTTTACTCACAAAAGTCTTCAAATCCAAACTTAAACTTGAAGTAGAATAAAAAAAATGATACAAAACAACAAAAAGGCATACATTTTCCAATTAAACTCTTATTTATCCTGCTAAATAATTTCCCAATGCTACCACCATTCCTTCCAAATTATGAGTAATTTTCGATCTGAAACGGAAAATCCATGCTGTTCCGGCTCCCCAGAAAGTGGTGGATGGATGGAAGTACAGCGGAAGTGGGAACTGTGCGAAGGGGCTTTCTCTCTCCTACCTCACTCACTCAGAATACGCAGGGAAAAGTATGGAAGTCATAAATAAATTTAAATGTCACTGACTCACTGAGCAGCAGCAGCAGCAATACAGAGAAAGAGATACCGATAATCTTATCAATCTCGTGTTCCCCACTTTCCTACTCGTTCGTTCTCCATCCATCCCTCCCTCGCCATTCACGAGTGCAGCCAGGTTAGCGTTTCGTCGCCCTCCATGCACCCGACGACGAGGACGACGATGTGCAATTAATTGTACAAAAAGATCCCTCATTTTCCCACAGAATAATATCACTGAAAAAGCCCAAGGGTGGTGGTGGTGGATACACAGTAAATATTATCATGTCGTCCTACGTATTCCACACAAATATTTAATACCGCATGCATTTATCTCTCTCCCTGCGTGCACTGTACACGTGAATTATAGGTGTTGTTGTTTGTTGCTAACAACACAACACACATGGAGGAAGAAGAAGAACAACTCCATTAATACGAGGCTTGCTTGGTTTGGAGCGTCGTCGTCCTTGTTGTCACGAAATTAATAATCTTCTTGGCAGAGAAAAATGGAATTTATTTAATTCACGTGCAAGTAATTTGCGCGAG